GTCAACCCTGAGCCGGTGAGATTTGAACCGCTGACCTGCTGATCTAGCAGTAGCCTGCAGTGCTGCTTTTAACCACTGCACCACCTTGGCTCTAAGTACAGTTATAAGTACAGATTATCTCTTGACTGCTATGCTGTTGAATGCCACTCCAACAGGAGTAGGCGTTAATAGCAGAAAACTACAGCCCAATATATTTAAGAATGCAGCATTACTATTATTCTCCACTTTGAAAAAATAGTATTAAAATGGAAATCCATTTTTTTTAGAAGAGAATTTTGAAGTTTTTGAAATGAAAGTCAGTTTTGTCTTAAAGACTAAAACACTCTTAAGTATGATTGTACTCACCATTTCTGGTTTTGATATCATGGCACAATATCCACTATATTTTGTCACTCCGTCATGAGGTACAGTAGTGTTGAGGTTCCCAGACACGCTAGCATACTGTTTATTCTTATCCAGCTTTATAGAAATTTCACTTTTCCCTCCAATCGCTGTGTCAGAACCAAGCACCCATTTATTTATATCTTCTTCACTACGAAATTCCCATACCACTTTTGTCTGGTTCAATATAAAATCTTGTACTGGTTTTTGATCAAAATCTTTCATAAAATCAATTGCCTCTTTCTTTACAAGCCCACATTGTGTTTTGAGTTCTTCCATTACTTTCTTAAAGTTATCAATTGTCTTCCGTGGTGAAATTTTCTCAATAGATGTTCCGGGTCTCTGATAGCCACTGTACCACCTTGCATGGTGACCATTTGCAAGAGTCCTACACAAGCTACTTTGGCAGTACTGTTTGTTTATCAAAGAGAGAAAATCCAGCGTTTTGAGAAATGAAGCCATAAATGAATATTGATGAGCCGCTTCCCTTATCCAAACAAAGATACTGGTATCTATTTCTGGTTAATGCAGTTTACCTTTACCTGTTATAATACAAATAAAAAAACATTTTAAAAATAAAGTTTTTAGTTTCATTTACTTCCTAAAATATACTAAGATGTATATACCTTGTTAACTGCATTACCATAAATAACACTTTCAATAACATCCGAGCTACAAAACAGATAGCATATGACATACAACATATTATTTAAAAATATTTATTGTTTTATCACAAACAAAACAAAAGCATACATTCAACACACAACTAAACAGGGGAAAAACAGTGTTCAAAAAAGGAAAAAGTAATCAAATAAATTTAACATGGAGGATCCACCCAGATCCACTGAAGAAAAAAACAGTAAATTCTCCTTCCCATATATATGTATATATGTATATATGTACGTATGTATGTATGTGTTACACTAAATATGCACAATATTCTTAAAACAAAGAAATGTCAGCCTTTTCATTTGGGATATCTATACTGCAAAAGAAAATGAAAGAAAATAAATATGTAATTAGAGCACGATTCCCTATTTGTGTTTTAATAGAACTGCACACATAAACTCAACAATGAGAACACAATCTGGAAAATATTAGTTATTTAAACAAGCATTCATCAAGCACCTGTTTGCTCCGTAAAGTCTTTATTGAGTCAGGATCAGTTTTGGTGACTATATGGTCAGGGCCACCACATGAAAGTTTGCCACTGCCTTCTTCCATACATTTGGTTTCGCAGCCTAGCCTGCAATCCTGGGATTTTCTGCAAGTCCCCCATCCAACTATCAACCAGGTCAAATTCTGCTTGGCTTTCTGAGGCATCACCTAAGATTGACTGAATCTTGGTGTGCCTTTTAAAAAACCTTTCATCTATTGTATAATTAGGGCCTCTGATTCAAGAGAGTTTCCATGGTTTCTCTTCTCTCAGAAACACTGAGAAGAGCTTTTTGCCTTAGCCTGAAATAATTTTTCAACGTTTATTCATTCTTAAGGAACATAGGAAAAATTAGATAGCTATAAACCAGTAAACCCACCGGGCAATGCACTCAGTTCGCTCCGTTTCTATCCTTCTCCGTCGCCTTGGCTTTCTGTTTCCTTAAAGAAGTAATAAATTCACCCCTAACTTGCAACCAATAGTTTCACTTAATTCTCATTCCCAATATAGTAGATTATGGTCTTTCCCAGACAATGTGTGGGTACGTTCTATCAATGCAGCCTGGGGATGATGGGTACTATGGTTCAACCGGGAATTAACCTTTACAAAGAGGATCCCCTTCGCTCACCTTGTATTCGCCACCATCTTTTGGCCCGAGTTCTACGCAGGCGAGTCCAACGCTGAAAGTCGTCCGGGCTCCTCAAAGGAACGATAGCCTATATAACGAAGGTTCCGTTCCGTTTATCTCGCGTAAATCAGGGCTGCAGGGCACGGACATTTTCCTCCCCGGACTAGAAAACCTGTAGCTTTTAACGCTTTTTAAAAGGCGGAGAAAGAGAGATGTTTCGTTTACTGGTTGTTTTTTTAGCCTGGTCGAAGATAACTGACGTAAACGGCAACAGGACTACAAGGGGCTTCCATAAAATCCCATCGGGCCCTCTTCCTACAACGCCGGGCCTGGCCAAGCTTTTATACCGCCTGTGAAATGGGATCTTAAGCTGTCACTGGTTCCCAAAAAGAAAAAGAACGGCATGCACCCATCTAAGGGAACCACCCCACCATTGGCCTCTGCCCCCAACGACGGCTCCTTTGGGATTACAGCACATCTCCCTCCACCCCAACTGACTGGGGAACGCCCTTAACTCCGCCTCCCCCTCGACTCAGGGGCCTAACGGCCAGTAGCGCTTTCTACGCCGGCCACGCCTACATCCGACGCGTCGCATGGCGCATGCTCGGTGCCCTTTGTGTCCGGGGTTGGCTGGCTGGCGGGCGGGCGAGCGGCTCCCAGGCTTTGGCAAAGGCCTGCCGCTGGAAGTGCCGCACACCGTCCGCTGGGCCCGCTGTGAGGAGGGGACGGGAGCGGCGGCGCCAGCTCCGCCATGGTGAAGAAGCGGAAAGGCCGGGTCCTGATTGACTCAGACACCGAGGACAGCGGCAGCGAGGAGAACCTGGACCAGGTGAGATTTGTGGCGCGACTACCGCCGCCGAACTGGGCCCGGGGCTCCATCCTCGCTTTTGCCTGGATCGCCTCGGATGGGTGCTGTAGTGGTACCAACTCCCGCTCGCATCCAAACGGCTTTCGTCTCTCTCTCTCCTTCTCTGCCCGGGCTAGCGCGGAGGGGGAGTCGTGCGCCTCCTGATAGAGGGGAGAGTGTGTGGTTTTACCTCTCTGTACATCGGGATCTCGGAGAGAGAACTCTGGCAACAAACGTGGTTCAGGGGATGGGAGTAAAAATTGTAGGGCTTTTGAAACGCGGGGGTGTCGAGGCAGCGGAGACGAATAAGAGCTTGGAGTTAGGCGAAAAGGATCCAGTCTGGCAGGTGGCAGGATGCAGATCTGGTATGTGGTGATTTGGAGAGAGAGAGATCCGTGAGGGTGAGATCTGTTTGAGTTATCCCCCTGATAGCTGTGGGAATGATGAGAGATGGAAAGTGTTGTAACCACATTCTCTGTGCAGCCCTTCTTTCTCCTCCTAAGCTCTATTTTAAAATTTTATTATAGACTTCAGGAGTGGCAATCAAACCCTGCTTTTCAACTCAAGAGTAATACAAAACATCATTTCTTTGCTGATTATCATGATTTCCACCCACCCCTGATATTAGGAGGAAACTCTATTGGGGTAAAATATGTTATCCCTATTGCGAAACCCATTGTGCTTCTCTTTCCAATCATCTGTATTCCTCCTCAGATTTTATGAGCCTTGGATGGTGTCAAAATAAATAGGGAAATAATTTGATAGCACTGGTACAGCCAAGGAAGACTTAAGTCAGTCTCTCTCATAGTCTGGAGATAAAATGACAGTAATGTCATGGGAACTCTGAACAAAAAAAATAGTGGGCATGTTTGTACTATGGTTACATACAAGTGGAGACATGAGCAAAAACTGATCCTAAATGTATATTATCATTTATTGTTTTTATTTTAAAATTCTCCTTTTTGAGAATTGGACCCATCTCTTGATTTGGACCCATCTCTTGATTTGCAATCTTTGTTTGAATTTACCCTGTTTCTCAATGTCTCTGCAACATTTATAGAGTTGAGGGACGATCTTTCTGTTTGTAGCAAAGAAGGTTCCCCTCATGTAGATTATTTTACTGTGCAAAAAAGGTTCCCCTCATGTAGATTATTTTATGATGCAAAGAAGGTTCCCCTCATGTAATTATTTTACAGTGCACTCATTGTTGCTGAAGTTTTATATGCTGAGGTTAATTTTGTCTCTAAGCTTGACTTTTTCAATAAGGCACCAGTGTGGGTAACATAATCTATCATTCTTTGACCATGTGAAAGGATTCTAAACTCCTGTCGTTGCATCTCAAACAGAATTTTTTATGGAAGACTGCTTTGGTTCCTCTCCATTAATATGTGTATTCTTCTGAGTTGATCTTTATGTATGAAAAGCATATAATCATAGAACAGTGAGCAACTATTATAGAAACTAGGCCAAAATCAATAAATGATAATATACATTTTGGATAGGAGGATCAGTTTTTGTCCATGTCTTCACTTGTATGTAACCATAGTACAAACATGCCAATTTTTTTTGTTCTGAGTTCCCATGACATTACTGTCATTTCATCTGCAGACTCTGAGAGAGACTGGCTTAAGTCTTCCTTGGCTGTACCAGTGCTATCAAATTATTTCCCTTTTTATTTTGACACCATCCAAGGCTCATAAAATCTAAGGAGGAATACAGATGATTGGAAAGAGAAGCACAATGGGTTTCACAATAGGGATAACATATTTTATCCCAATAGAGTTTCCTCCTAATATCAGGGATGGGTGGAAATCATGATAATCAGCAAAGAAATGATGTTTTGTATTACTCTTGGGTTGAAAAGCAGGGTTTGATTGCCGCTCCTGAAGTCTATAGGTTTTGGACAGTAATACCTATTCAACAAAGAAAGCAGATCTGATTGTGAAAAGTGCCTAATATCTTCTCTGTCTCCTCCTAAAACAGTTTTCCTGAGTCTAGGGCCTTCTAAATTTAACATACTCTTATCACTACTAGTTGGCATCCGTATGGCTGTATAGACTGCAGAAGATAGCAGTGCAATCTTAACATACCTGATGTATGCTAAATTCGAAAAATCGGCAATAGAGAAATAGTTACTGATGAACTTTTCTAAATTTCGACTCCTTAACTTTCTGTCAAGAAAAGGAACTTTATAGTGGAGAAGCTGAGCATACAAAAAACAGTTTTTTGCAGAGCATATTAAATAGGAAATAGGGAATAGGATAAGAAACATAAAGTCATATGTTCCTGAGGTGTTATATCTACCTTTCTTTAGCTCAAATTACAAGTTTCCATTATTATTTCATTTCATCTTGAAAGTTAGAATTGTTTCTTATACTAAGACAGTGTCACATATTTTATGGCATGCTACAAAATATTCTCAATATTAATATTCTTCTTAACGTACAGCACTTCTTTCAGGGAATAAGCTGAATTTGCTTCAACAGGAATATGCCTGTTGTATCTATTTTTCATGGATGTTAGCTGTATGGAATGGGAGATGTACTGTGGGAATGATGTGGCATGAGGCCAGCTAATGGTTATCTGTGGAAGCTTGTATCTCTGTTCAATTTATTGTAATTATGAACAATTCTATGTTTTGTTTTTTATGTGCTCATTTGGATAGCCAATGTAGCCACCAACTTATAAGGAATCTCATGTTCCAGCTTTCCTCTTTTTGTTGAAGATCTGTTGCTATGTTATTGGATAATATAAGGAATTTAAAATTGGTGAAAGAAACTAGACTCTCCATCAGACATAGTTTCAGATATTAACTAGCCTTTGTAAAAAAGCTGTTTGCAAGTAACTGCATTACCAGAATGGCCAATACTTTCTCAAGAGTCAACACTCCTTCATGATAGTGTCTATAATGCCTTGTCAGTCTGGAAATTCCATAAATTTGTATATGCATTTCGCTGTTAATGAAAACTGTAAGATAAAGCATATCAAATTGTTGGTAATATTATAGAATAGATGGAGTATATTTCTCAGATTTAAAGAATTTCAGCATTTTCCAATCTTGATGGATTCTGATCCATTTAGATCTCATAAGATTCAATCATCCATCCACATATTTTGAACCCATAGCAGTTTCGCTCTTGGATTAATAGCTCCTAGATTTTTTTAAATAGCAGGGTGTGGAAACTTACCCTCTTTCCCATTTTTCTTTCACTAGCAAAAGAAAAAATGAAACCAATATATGAAGTTCTATAGCAGACTTTGATCAGTGTATCAATTTTATATTATTGCTTTGCTGTATAAATTTACTGCCTGCTCCAACTCCTTTTCAATAAGAATAGAAAATATTTGTACTTTGGTCAATATTAGGTGGCTCATCGACTTTAAATCTGTATTGAGCAACTCTTTAAGGAATGCATTTCCACAGATTTCCACAAATGAAATTATGTTTTCCTCTTGTCACCATATTTTTATCTTTTTCTTCTGATTATATTTATTTGTAAGTGCTTTTCTAATGGCTAAAGATGTGTTATCTTCAATTTAAATGCAGGTGTCATTTGGGGAAATAATATTACATTTTTGTAATGCTTAATCCAATCTGTTATGGAAGAAAAATAATGACAAAGTTATGTGTTGTACAAGATATCAACTAATAGCTTAAAATGCTGCTAATTCTTATTCAGTCCAAACTACAACATGAGTTACTTTTACTTTGGAAGTTATGATTCTCTGAAAAATAGATGATTTCCAAATGTATACCGTATTCACACATCAACTAAACTAACACTGTTCTTTTTAAATAGTTGAAACCAATTTTACCGAATTCAATGGAAGTAATTCTATTCATAAAATGACTAGCCTACATCAAGTGCTATATGTTAACACTTCCTTTTACTCTTCATTTATTGAGCTATATCCTTCAGATAGTCGATAGTGAATATTCCAGTCCTTTTGAACTAAACTTGTGCACCAACATAGAGATGGAAAGAAAAACCTATTCTGTCATAGAATGATACTACTGAGTACAGTCCAATTTTATCTGATAAGTGTGGATCTATATGCATCATTTTGGTATGCTAGGTTATGTAGGAAATTGTATAAATAGGAATGGTTGTTTATTCTTGATGAATTACTTTGAATTTGCTTTAATGTTAGGTTTTACAGCTTAAGAATACAAATAAAAAATCCTAAGTATTCTATCAATCATGCAAATTATAACAATTAATTGGTAAATTTTGTTTAATAAAAATATTTTTATTACAATTAAAGTAAAAACTAACAAACTAAAAAGAACAAAACAATAAAATATTAAGAAAAAAAGAAAAGGAATGACAAGAAAAATAAATATGTAAAGAAATAACTTCCCTCTTCATCTCAACAAATATAAAACAATGTTAGTAACTTATCACCTTTTCTTAATATACAACAGATGATCTCTTCTTTCCATATCTCATATCTTATCTGTCAACAAATCTTTAAATCCTCATCATTCGGTCCTGGTCAGCAAAAGTCCATTAAAGGTTATCAGAGATAGCTTGTCTATTTTAACTCTGATCAAATAAACCTTATATTCTTCCTTTTACCTTTAACAAGCTTGATCTTTAACTCTTTCAAATAATGACTTAGAACTTGATTTATTTTCATTTTTTTCTTTGTCCTTTTCACAAAATCTTTCTCTTTTGTAAATCCAATATATAAATGTTGTCCAAGTTACACTTTTGGTTTGTTGTTTGTAATGTATATCCCTTTTAATTATATAAGGCATCAGCCAGTTTCATTTGTATAATCCGTATTCTTAGAGTTTGTCATTTTTAAATCCACATTCAAATCAATGTCAATCTTGTTTGGGAAAACTTGTTCCTCTTTCAAACAATTTATTTATAATGGCTGACACTCTTAAAGTTAACTTCTGAGACCATTGTTCACAAATATTCTTCAATAGTTAGTCCCTGATTTACAGCAGTTCATTTAGTGACCATTCAATGTTACAAGATCACAGAAAAGAGTGACTTATGACAATTTTCACACTTACAACAGTTGCAGCAACTCCATGATCATGTGATCAAAATTGGCAAGTGATTCATATTTATGATGGTTGCATTGTCCCAGGATCAGGTAATCAATCACCTTTTGCGACCTTTTGACAAGCAGAGTCAATGGGAAGGCCAGATTCACTTAACAACTGGGCAAGATAGGTCATAAAATGGGAACTCGTTTAACAACGGACTTGCTTACTAACAGACATTTTGGACTCAATTATGGTTGTATACATCCAACGCTAAAGTATTTTGCTCCATTTTGTAATACTAATTTGAATTTAAATATTTTTTCTCCTTTAATTGTAATCTTTAATTTCTTCTGGTTCCTTTTAGTATGCAACCTTCAAAGTCCCATCCTATTTTTCTTTTAGAATAAAAAAAGCATTTTCTCATGGGAAGGATTCTTACAATTAATTTCAGAATCTTCTTTCAAATTCATCTGGACCCTTAGTCCATTTGTAACTTTTAAAAAAGCAAGTTTTTAATTTTTTAGCCGTTTATTTTTTAAAAAAACCTTTTTAAAAATGTCCTTAAATTTGTGTTTTAAATTTATTTTTCTAAGATTTGGGGATAACTCAGTAAATGTTATAAAGCTTGTTGAGCTGGAGGTTTTTAATAATTGAAAAGCGGTTAAGTAGTTTCCAAAAATGATTAAGCAATGGGACTCTGGGAACCTTGTGTCTTTATAGGGTACATTATAGTTGTGAGCTTCATTGCATTCCCTTGACAACCAGGTGCTTGACTCACTAGTCAACCACAAGAATCTTCAATTCTGCAGTCTACTCACAAATCACAATCTTACAACCTGTCCTTTATCTGAAAATAACTGCACTGGCCACAAATCTGGCCACCACCTCCATTGCCATTCCACCCCCACTCCTTCAGGGACACCTGCTTTGCCATAAATCCTCACCTGAAGTCATACATTTTGAATATTTGGGGGGTACTTTGCATTCATTTGTAGGTGAGAAACCATAGCTGAATAATAACTTTTTATTAGAAAAGATAGTTAATGGCTATGGAGAGAGACCCTCTGAGTAAAGTTTGAGTTTTCCCCAGTATAAGTATTTGTACAACACATATTCTAAATAGGATTTTTGTCACATGACAAAACATGGATTTCTGTAAAAAAAAAACCAACACAGGACAAGTTGTATAGTCTGTAATTCTCTTAGAATGGAAATTAAAACATTGATCATTCTGTGCAACTACAGTACTGCATAAAGGTAATCCTCAACTTCCAACTACAACTGAGCCCAAAATTTCTGTTGTTAAGTGAGACGTTTATTAAGTGAATTTTGCCCCATTTTGCTACCTGTCTTGCTTCAGCTGGTAAGCGAATCACTGCAGTTGATAATTAATAATTCTGTTGTTAAGTGAATCTAGCTTCCGCATTGACTTTGTTTATCAGAAGATCTTAAAAGGTGATCACATGGCTTGGGACGTACAGACAGACAGACAGACAACAATAGCATTTAGACTTATATATCAATTCACAGTCCTTTACAGCCCTAGGTGGTTTGCAGAATCAGCATATTGCCCCCAATAATCTGGATCCTCATTTTACGTGAATTGTTGAAAGGATGGAAGGCAGTGTCAACCTTGAGCTGCTCAGAATCAAACTCCTGGAATGACCAGTGAGTTAGCCTGCAGTACAGCATTTTAATTACTGGCTGCGCCACCACAGCTCTTAAGGATGGACGTACGGACAGAAAGATGATAGAAAGATAGATTGATAGATAGATAGATAAAAAGATAGATTTATTTCTGTAATTTAAGAGTAACATTTTTTTCACAAATCCCCCCCCCCCCATGAAAAAGATACTCAAGGAAAATAAAAATAATAAAGATTTGGGGGAAATGCACTATAATGACCCTTTAAAATAAAATTGAGAAAAATACACCAGAAGGGATATACTGAAGGTTCTGTGCAGAAACTCCTCACCACCACCATCCTGAGCCAAAGGCAGCCATCTCTCTTAAAATCATGTCTTATATATAATAAAAAGACTACTACTTTTTAAGCTTCATCTGGTCCCAGTCTAATTTATAACTTCCAAGTTGAAAAATGCCTTTAACCTGGAAGAACAGTTAAGAGTCAGGAAAAAATGTTTAATACTCTTTTCTCCTACGGTCAGAGGAACTCCATTAAATAATTTGTATTTATCAATTATGTGTGGGTTAATAGTTTTGTGACAGATGTTTAAATATCATACATTATTTCTGCAAAGCAGAATCTATATACAGGCCATTTATATCTCGAACAATTTTATTTCCTTTCAACACTCTTACTGCATCTGTGGTTTGTTGTTTAACAGAATTTTAAAGTTGAGTGATTCCCCCCCCCCATGTTTGTGTTTCAGTAACAAAGACTTTAGTAAGATAATCTCATTCAAAGAATGCAGGTTCTAAATCATCTCAAATTAATGTAGTTCAGTTTATTGTGAAATGTTTATAAATTCAGACCTTCTAAAAAACTTTAAATTATGAGCACGATGTTTTAAAATGAAAAGCAACCTCAAGTACCCCAAAGCCTCAAACCATATTTTCCAGCACCACACTTTACAACTGGTGTCAGGTTCTCCTAGTAAAATGTCATCTTTGACTTTCAAACGTGCCTCCTGGTACTATGGCCAAATCACTCTGTTTTTATCTTGTCTGTCCAGAGCACAATGTTCCAGAAGTCTTAGTCTTTGCCTAAGTGTTCATAAGCAACTTTACTCATGCACTGATGTTTGTTCTGGATAGCAGAGGTTTCCCCCTGACAGAACTTCTTCTGCAGATTGAATCTGTGCAGCTATTTTTAATGGTTGTCTCATTCACTTTGGCACTATGGTTGGGGTGTGTCTGATATCTCCAAGTCATTAAATGGAATTTTGGGGTTCTTACAGACTTCTTTCAGCTATTTGCATTCTAATCTCCTTCCTCCCATATTCTCTCTAATGATGTTGCAATCATTTGCACCTGATTCTAAGTTCAGTTATTTGAGGTATTGATAAACACAGGGATGGACTTATTTTTTTCCAAATGTGAAATTTGCATTTATGTTTATTTAAATTATGCAATGGACTTCATGTAAATGAAGATATAACATTTGTTGTAACATTCAATATTACTAAAGTAAATATCTATATCTATATGTTAAAGTGTGTTAAAAAGTTAATAATTTTACTTTTTCCTATGACTATAACTTTCTGCATATGCCTCCCTCTCCTATCCAGAAGTTTAGTGAGTTTTCCAAGGATTTTAAAGAATTGTATGGATAAAAAAGGGAATTCCTATTGCTTGTGTAATCTTGGAATCTACCCTTTGTTTTGATAAAATATTTTAATTAATCCTTAATTATTATGATACCAATACCAAATACTCAGTTAAATAATGTAAGAGCCCCAATGGCGCACTGCTTAGCACGCAGTATTGCAGACTAATTGCCCGCAGCTAGGAGTTTCATCCTGAGCAGCTCAAGGTTAACTCAGCCTTCCATCCTTCCAACGTTGGTAAAATGAGACTCCAGATTGTTGGGGGCAATATGCTGACTCTGTAAATAACTCAGAGAGTGCTGTAAAGTACTAAGGAATTTTATATAAGTCTTAAATGCTATTGCTATAATACATTTTTGAATATCTGAAAATGCTTTGCTGATAACCATTTTAAGTTCAGATTTTTTTTAAAAATGGTTTTACTACAAAGTAAACTACATATGACATAGTGTTCATATTTCTTCTTTCTTTGTTCCAATATTATGTGAAACTGGTGAGCAATCCTACTTAATAAGAATCAAAACCTAAAAATGGAATATGGCAAACAGTAGGAATCCCCCCTTATTAACTAAGAAAAGTCAGACTTCCAAGAACTTTAATCAGAAAGAAATTTGAAGGAGTAGGAGTCTAATAGGAAAGATACTTCCTATGTACATTTTTCATTTTGGTTTGTAGGCAGACCTTAGCATGACATATTATTTTAAAGAATTGTAAGCATTTATTTAAGCATCTTATTTAACATTCTGTTAGGTTTCAGATGGGAGATTTGAGTGGAAATTCTCTCTCTTCAACTTTGGAGAGAGTTCATGCTTAAGGCACTCTGTATTTGTTTTCTTCCAGGAGCTCCTGTCATTGGCCAAGCGGAAACGTGGTGATTCTGAAGAAAAGGAAGCACCTGCTAGCAAGCCTACAGCATCTTCTGACTCTGAGACTTCAGACAGTGATATTGAGGTTAGTTTGTATTTAACTGTTAAATTGAATAAAACAACGTAATGTGCATTAGTTCAGTTCTGCTGCTGAGATTATTCACATTAAATATGAAACACATTTGTGAAGGCTAGATACCCTTGATACTGCATGGCTTTGTGATAGTATATGTCCTGAGCTGACATGTAGCTAATATTCCCTTGATTCCTGTGGGAAAAGTATTTCAAAATGGTTGCTCTTAAAACAAGGAAATCTTAAAAGGAAATGCCAACATGCAAAGATTGATTATCTAATTTATCAGGAAATTCAATCCTCTCATCTCCAATGTAAATATAATTTTCATCTGAAATTTATTGATTGAAAGGAAATGGTTAGGAGAAGTATGCAATGTTGTTGTCAAACTGCAACTAATAAAGTTGGCTTTCTGTTCTTAATTTGCTTTTCTAAAAAAACTCTTAATTCTGCTTTTTATTTGTATATAGTTATAATACAATATTGTTTTTATTTTATAGCTGTGATTTTCTTAACTCATAAATTAAATCTTGTTCATAGCTGTTTTAGTACATATTTACATTAAAATCCAAACTTCTGTCCATTTAGCTTCATGAAATCTTTGAAGGTACTTCAGCCTTGTCTCACAACTCCCATCTTTCTTTTTATACTACAGTGGACAGTAGGGGGTTCTAAAAACAAAAAGAAAGGAAAAGCTGCAAAAGCAGAGAAGAAGGGAGCCATGAAGAAACAGATGAACAAAGCAGCTTCATCAGGCAGCTCTGATAAAGATACCTCTCCAGAGAGTTCAGCACCAGAAGAAGGTAACAAAAAAAGGATGAGCATATTAGTGATGGGAGGAATTCATACATGGACTGAATTTACATAGCATATTTACCCATCAATAACTCAGTCCAATTTTCTTGGGTTGTACAGTCCACTGATCCTTAACTGTACAGTTGGGTTGAAAGAAGTTTGGTTAAAGTGTGGTAAATTAGTTTGGGATTCAGTTTATCATAAGAAGTCATGTTCTTTTGAAATTAGTTATAGTCATGTTCTTTTGAGATTAGGCTATAGATTCCCCCCCCTCTAGTTCAGTGGTTCCCAAAGTGGGCGGTACCGCCCCCTAGGGGGGATGACTTAGGGGGGTTCTAAAAGGCAAGGGAGGGGCAGCAGGGGGGCATTAAGAGGGCAAGGAAAAAGAGATCGTGTATTGTGTTGGCTGCAAAGGGCGTCACCCCTAGGTTGGTAGCTTCCCCTTAACTAATTCTCAAATGGAAAGGAGAAACTTGCCAAGTGGAAGATGGACTGTTTTAAAGTCCATTGGCGCGGGCAGAAGGACGAAATCACCCAAACAAACCTGGAAATAGTTGTGGGTTTCCCTTTAAGCAATGTCACTCCCCTCCCCTCCAATCACCGCCTTCCTCCCAGGAGAGGGGCACGCATCACTTCAATAGCCCGCCCCCCCAACACTGCCGGCATCCTAACCGACGGGTTTGGCTTGTGAAAAGGTTTTAAAAAAAAAAAGTTGGTGGGCGGGGAGATCGTGCACAGTATTGTTAGGGGAACCCCCCCCCCACCAATCGAATTCTAGTTGAGCTTGCGAGAGAGCTCTTTGCCATTGGTTTAAAAATGGTCACATGTTTCGTGCCATCCTTTTCCTTTGCATGGAGTCACTGCTGGGTAAAAGTAACTGGGAGGAGGGGGGGTGATAAGCAGAAGTGCGGTCGCTCCCTTTTGGTTGTGTGGATTTTGGTTAGGGAGGTTTGGATTACCAGCAGGAGGGATAACTTTCCCCTCCTTTCTTTCTATTCACTGTACTCCGAGTGACGTTTAGCCGCTAGCTTAGCTCCGGAAAATTTTTAAGTTCCAAATTTTTTTCTCTTACTCTTGCATTGACTAATCTTCCTCCGGATCACAGATTCCGTCCTCTTCTCCGTACCTACATAAATCTTGTTCCAGATGCCCCGGCTCCAGAGCAGCCATACAAAGATGGCCACCATCCCAGTCACCGATCTCCAGAGAGCTTGGAATCGGACCTGCTGGGGAGCTTGCCTTGCTCCCCACAGGCATCCGAAACGCCTCTCCTTATGCCCCGTCCCTTCAGGAGGATTCCGATCCACAAAGGACCTCTCGACAATGGCTTGTCGGCTGGGTTTTTCCCAGCCGTTCTCGCTGCGACACTTCTGGGTTCCCCATCTATGTCAAAATTGAACAGCCCTCCATCAACAGAGGGTAAGGGTACGACATCATCTATCTCCAATCTACAACATAGTCCTTTCAACAGTTCTAAGAAGGATCCAAATCCATTTGAATCACTCAGATAAACCTCCAGGTGACCTTAACGACTTGCTAAAAGAATGCAAATGACCAGCTGTCTGCAAGGAGTATAAATCCTTCCATTCCCTACCATCCAGTCAACTAAAGAAGCTTCTTGGATGAGAAGTGAAATGTCTTCAAAGAAAAAACAACAACAAAGTCCAGTTGCCTCTTGAAAAAGCACCTTTGGGTCAACCATGACCTGGATGACTGAGAATCTCCATAGACATTCAGTTAATAAAGTAATCATAGTTCAGCAGCAACTAACAAGGATGTACTAAGTTTATTATCTTTAACAGTTTCAAGGTTTCTTAGAGATACACGCTGACTTCCTCATAAGCATGCAAGGCATTCTATTGTTGTTGTTGTTGCATTCTATAGTTGTTGTTATTATTATTATTATTAGTAGTAGTAGTAGTATTGTTTTCTAAAATAGCTTAAATGGTAGGCATTTGCCTGAAAAGCTTAGAATCCAACTGTAACTGGGTATGCAGAGGCAGAATGGAAATGCACGAGTAAGAAGAAATAGTTATGAGCCTTTCATAATTATGCGTTCCTTGATTGCCTTCCAGTACATGACCCTCTCTGGGTTTTTTTTCAGGAGAAGTATCTGACTCTGAAAGCAATGGCTCTTGCAGTAGCTCAGACTCTGAAACTTCATCTGAAGATGAGTTTACTGATGGCTACGGAGAGGATTTTATGGGTGATGAAGAAGATAGAGCTCGCCTAGAACAGATGACAGAAAAAGAAAGAGAACAGGAATTGTTTAATCGGATAGAGAAAAGAGAAGTTTTGAAGAAAAGGTGAGCTTTTGTTCAGCCATTTCATATTATTGTATTTATGCAACATTCTTTTCATTTTGGACTTTTTAAGGTAAATATTTTCTTTCCTTTTGCTTCATATCATTTTTCAGGGTTTCTAAACAAAATGTCAGCAAATTGGTTTCTGGTTAGTGTTTGGTTTTGTCTGTGAAAAACAAGCAAAACCATAGAAGGAATGCAGATGCATAAATAATTATAATCAAAGTATAAGATGTTACCTGTACCTTTTGCTTGTTCATTTCACTTTCATTGATCCATGGTTAAGCCTCCCCCCCACAAAGGCAACACTATTACTTGATCATGATAGAAATAATGGGGTGCAATTAGAGGTTTGCATAAAATGAGAATATGGCTTTGCTCCATGCATGGACTAAAATGTTACTGCTCTGACATTCGGTCACACCGTTCTAGTTGTGTCATGTTCCATCTAAAGGGAACGAGGTTTCAGCCAAGGCAAATATGGATGCGTATGAAGGAGGGAAAGGCTGGCATATGTAGTCCCTTTCCCCCTACTCCTCTTAATAGTTGGTATGTTCTAGGTCACCTAATAATTTTCCTAGTATCCATCTTCCTTTTGCTTTCCCTTAGTCACCATTCACAATTGAATTCACAGGTCTGATCAACCTGTGTGACCTACCTGGTCTACCTCTTGCCCCCCCCCCCAAAAAAAAACTACCTCACACTCCTCTGAATTCTATTCTGTTGTGTTCCCCCTTTCTTTCTCCCCACTTGGTGCTGCCACCCTTTCCTACACTATCTCCCAGCTTGGAGCACCTTTGTTGGAACATATATTTTCCAGGGCTGTGCTCAAACAAAAGCACTTCTCAATCCTGCCCAATCTATTCCTGGCCATCTCCATACTCAAAACACTTTATATAGCGGTACTCATTTTGCCCAACACTAATAACATTGAGAGGTTAATAAACGTTATAGAAAAATAATGCATCTCAGTGCAGTCAAATATATACAGAATATTTGCACATAAACATAACTTTCTCTCTCAAAAAGAAATACCTGGTTAAACCTCCAAATGTAAAAGCCTTTACAAATCTACATTCCTTTGTTGAAGAAGTACATATTGTGCATGCAACAACTCACAGCAAATTACTAGGATGCAACTGCCATTATCAGCAGGAAACCAAAAATCCAGTTTATTCCAAACAGCTAATAGGTTGGCCTGGTTTCTTGCCATTCAACTTGTTAGTGAAGATGAGTGGGCTGATTCTCCACTGCTCTGCTGTGACACCCACCTGTTCAAAAGAGCTTTAAAAATGTGGCTGTTTCCCCAGGCCTTGAGCTAAAGTGGGTGGCAGGTGCTATATGTTTCTCTTTAAAATGTTGCTTTTCTTTTGGGAGTTTTTTGTTTCAAATGTTTTTATTTACACTGCCCAGAGTCGCTATAGAGTTATAAATAAATGTCTTAAATGAATAAAATATATGAATATTTATAACAAAAGTTACTTTTCTTCTTTAAAAAAGCATTATGTCTCTTAATTCTATATAGTACCATAGTTTCTACTTTGGAATTAAGCAATTAAGTACTTAATAGTGCCAGTAATTTGCATAGTTTATATTTGAAATAAATCTCATTTACTGCAACTATTTATTGATTAAATTTTATGCAGCCCATCTCACAGTTGTGTAACTCTTGCTGTTACAAAATATGTAATCATTTTATGCCTTTTACATTAAGTTTCAATTCAGTTTACCAGTTTGCTCCTTCCTGAATTAATTGGAGACTCCTATGTATTTTTTCCTTTGATTGAACCCAGGTTTGAAATAAAGAAAAAATTAAAGACAGCAAAAAAGAAAGAAAAGAAAGAAAAGAAGAAAAGGAAAAAGCAGGAAGAAGAACAGGAAAAGAAAAAGCTCACACAGATCCAGGAATCCCAGGTAAGAAACATACAAATCATACTTTATTTTTAAAAAATGACACTACTTAAAACATATTTGTGACATTGCTTAAATTAGCATTCATCTAACTACATTGGATAAATATTTAGTCCCTAGTGCTGTAATCAAGTATTTCAATATCATAAAATATTCTGACCTATCTTTTTATATAGCGTCTCTTATTTGTACAGCTGTCTTTGATAAAACTAATTGTGATAATATAACTGCTTTGCCTGTTGCAGCAAAAGCAAATGTTTCATAATGAATTGTATCCAGTGCTACAGGAATGAAATCTGGTGTAAAGTCCTTTCCCCTCCTCTCTGTTTTGTATTCTCCCCCCCCCACCCCCCCCGGTAAATTTCTCTAAAACAGTATTTTTCAAAGTCTGATCTGAAAATCCTAGGGGGTTCCCTAAAACCATTTCAGCTGTCCACAAAATCAAAATTATTTACCAGCCTATGTATTAAAATCCACTCAATTGTGAGAAGTGGTAGCAGTAATAGATGGCTGAGGAACAGCAGCAGCCCTACCTGGACCTATCCAAGCTTCGGGATGGGCAAGCTGGCTGCATACAGTGGCATCTTGGCATCAGGAGCATTGAATGGTGTGAAGTGGCATGGCTGGCCAGTGGTGTTGCCTGGTGGGACTATGGTTTAGGGTTTTTTGCTAAAGCTGTTTGGTGGTATTTGGCCTGCCCCTGAAGATGCAGCGAGCCACAGCCTGTTTGCCATCCTCCATTTTGGGGTTTACTCTGAGAAAAGGATGGCAGGTGGCCTGTTTTCTGCATTGCAGTGGCTGTGGCTGCATCCCTGGGCGTAGGAGTCCTGTTTGAATGGAGGACTGATTGACCAGGTGAATGCTGGTGAGTGGTGGGTGGGTGATGGTGCTGCAGAAGAGCTGATGTGTACCCTGTGGCTGCCACCTGGTCCAGCAACCATCTTAATAGCTGCTGCTTTATTCGTAGAACTCAGGACTTGAATGGATTGTTTTGTTTAGGTTGTAGTAGATGGCGCCCTAAAAGAAATACTGGCAAGGATATTGTGGATTTTGAAAAGTTTGGTTGGAGTGGCGGAACAAAACGAAATATGCCAACATTTAGAAAATCTATATAACTTGGTAGTTATTATTCCAGATAATTAAAGCATGATATTAGAATGTTTACACAAAGGTTAGGTTGAAAAATCAACAAAGAGACGTTTATTTAACAATATAATGTTATGAAGAGGTGGATATCAATATCAATAAGACAATTCATTTGTGCTTAATTTCAGAATGTCTGATTAGTTTGTCACAAAGGATTAATTTTCCCCTGCTTGAGATAATGCCAATGTTAATTGTCTTAATCCTTTTTCTTTTTTACTTTCTTTTTTTTTTAAAAAAAAACCTTTAACTGTAATTGCCTCTTATTTTTAACATGCCCTTCCCCTTTTCTCTTAGTTTTATGGTTACGTTTGATTGGAACAGTTGCTGAAAACCTGTGTTACCTTTTGATTATTTATATTCTTTTAAAAAATCTGTACATCAAAATTATTGAATTGGACTTTTTAAAATATTTATCAGAATGTGCAATTGTTCTTTTTTTAAAAAAAACAAGTTTATTTGATTATTTAGTTAATTAGTATGACACTAATTCATGTGGTGGATTTCAATGACAATTACCAGTATATAACTTTTCGTATAGCAGATTAGGTTTAATTTTTTTAATTATATAGTGCAGTTTATAGTAATATTTTGTTGTTTAGTTTATAGATAATGATATAAATCACTAAGGATTTTTTTTTGAGAAATTTTATTTTATTTTTTTAAAAAATTATATGTTACTTTAGCTCTTGGAGGAAAAGCAGAATATTTATTAAACTAATTAATAAAATTAACATAAACTCCCTTTTCAACAACAGCAAAATATTTTTTTATTTCCTGTTCTTCAGATAACCTGTATTTTAAACTGCAATAGAATTGCTAATGTTGTACAGAGAAATAAAATCAAGAGATCAATTAAACAACATAAAAATTATGAGCTTGAATAAAACAAATTGACAGAAGTATGGAAAATTGATAAAGACTTTTGCTCAAAAATACCAAAATAAAAGAGTAAACCTTAGGCAAAACACTACTGCAAAGACTCATTGCTTGGTAAAATCTAACCAAATACCTTTTAAGATTGTTGGAATTATATATTTCTATAGGTAATGTCACATAATAAAGAGAGACGGTCAAAGCGGGATGAAAAATTGGATAAGAAATCCCAAGCCATGGAAGAACTAAAAGCAGAAAGGGAGAAAAGGAAGAACAGAACAGGTAAGTTCAACCGTGTATTCTTTAATTAAAGAAAAAAAAGATAGGATGAACATGAACCATACACTGTAGATTCCACTGAGCTCCCTACTAACTCTTCATATATCACTTATAAGATGGAAAGACATTCTTGATTGTTTTGAATATTCCTAGTTGTTAAGGAAGGCACAACATAATCTGGTCCATCATACTCTTTTTGAGATGTCCATCATCAAGTCCTTTTCCAGCAGTGGTATTCAAAGGCATTGTAGCATCCTGGACATAGCATCAGTGACCATCATGATTGCCTATTATTGGTATTTTGATCTCCCATTAATTTGCCAAATCCCTTTCCAGATTTCCAAATTAGCTATCACTTCTCTGGTGTTTTTTTAATATTCATAAATATATTGTAGATTTCTCATGTCAGTATGTATAGTTGGATTAACAACTATAAGCAATGAAGGCCATTTTTGTCCCATGCTTAGGCCTGAGCTTAGAATAGAAGAAGTCCATATAATAATCTTCTGCAACAAAAACTCAACCATTATTTTGGGAACATGGCAGTAATTGTCCAAGATACCTGAGTCCAAGAAAAGCTTCTTCACAAGAGGCTGTCTCACTGGCATCTGGTACGACTTCCTTTCCTAGAAAGATGTTGACAGTTCTCTAAAGTGAAGCTAATCAGGCCTTTCACAGTTACCCAAAGGAGCAAAAAAAGAGAGATGGATCCAAGCCATAAATGATAGAGCAACTATCAGAGATTCTATACCCTCTTCATTAAAGTCCATACATTAAGATGAATCTTATATCACATTGTAAAGCATTACCGTATTTTCACCCATATAACCCGCGGGTTATATGCGGTTTTTACATGCACAGCGCCCCC